ATAATGTTGGCGTATTCTAAAAATGTGAGTTATGAACTGTATTGAAAAGACCCAGGTTGGCATAGTGGTGGAGGATTCCATTCTATGTGATGGCAATACACATTGTGTTGTTACCACCACGCTGGCTCTGGGACCAATGATGTTGTCCCTCTTCTTACTTTTGTGAGGTTGCTTCATCTATGAAATAGATGAATAAATTCATGTGGTATTGCATTGGCATCCATTTGCATTATTGTGTAGTTTAGTACATGGCTAGTATAAACATACATGTTTCTGTAAAATGTTCTGTGTGTGTAGGTCTTTTACCCTCTCAGAATTCCTTTCAAATGGCGCTCTGTGTAAGTGATTCATCTGTAACTGGTGTCTTTTTTGAGGTTTCTCCCCAAGGTGGACAATGAAATTCACCTATTGCCTTTGTATGGTGCTTACATCCGAATGGTGAGTTATCAATTAAGCACCTGTCTTCACACTTGAGGGTCATGTCTAATCAGTTGGTTTATGGGTGTGATATTTTGGGGGGTTGTGCCTTGAAATTACAATAAGTGACGTCATTTTAGATTCATGTGTCTAATATAGAGAAGTGTGTTTAGTGTTTTGCAAAATATTGTATGTAGTGTAAGGGTGAGAATGTGCTTATAGTTGTGCAGATCGGGGCTGAGGTTCTGCTCCTTGGGTTTCTGGTTTCATTAACTGTGTTCATTTAAATTTTTGTGTCTAAACAACTGTAAAAAAAAGACAAAAAAAAAAAAACTGTGATGTTTCAGTTCTTTCCAACATACCACCAGCACATGATTTAGCATAAACCAGACAGACAACAGCACTAGACTAATTTGCAGTCAATTTATTAGGAATATGGTGGGGTTTGAGACAACAATGCTAACCTGTCACCAAATCATTATGCTGCTTGTTAGAGTAGAGATAGAGTGGGGATAGAGTGCAGTTGGGTGGGTGAAGTAGAGCAAGGTGGGAGGTAAAAAGAGGGGAGTCAGGGGTTGGAATGATGGGGTAGAAGAGAGAAGGTAAGGGGATGAGGGGAAGTAAAGGGAAGGTGAGGGGTTGAGAGAGTAAAGGGAGGGGGAGAGAAGGTTGGAGTGGGGTTGGGTGGGTGAAGTTGAGCAGAAGGGGAGGAAATGGGGAATAGAGGGAAGGTAAGATAGTAGAGAGAGGGAATAGAGTTTGGGGTTAGTTAAGTGGGTTCAAAGGGCGTCACTCATTCATGGGACCAGCAGCTCAGGCGACGGTAGAACAGCCGGATTCTCTTCAGCAAAGAGGGCCTTTTTGTCTGGACAGCTGGACCTGATCTTGAGCTGAACCCTTGTTGTCCTCCTCCTTCTTCTTTTAGGGTATTTGAAAGATAAGAATGTTAGTACCAAGCTATAAATATAAAGATGCATATATAAAGACATACTAAATTTGTTTGGGTTTGAAGATGTTTCACTTCACAACCTCTGGTGGAGGAAGCACTCAGATCCTGAACTAAACTAAGCTCAAGCTCTAACTAACTCAAGACTAAATACTAAAAAATAAAAAATAGATTCAGTGGACTGATGACAAGAAGAGCTTCTCACCTTCGCCTGAGTTTTGGACAACAATGGGCTATCTCGGTAATCTGTGACTTCCTCCTCCAGACAAGTCTCTGGCTGGATCTTATTCTTCTGCCACTTGCAAAAGCTCCAACACCGCAAATTCTTCTTGTGTACATTGATGTAATGTGACAATCTGTCATCTTTAGTCTCACAATCTGTATATTTTTGTGTCCTTTCAGTCTGAAATGTCTTCTTTCTTGCAGTACCTAGACCTCTGAGGAGGGATTTCATTGCCTGGGTAACTCCTGCCAACATCTTGTTGCATGCTCTGGAACTTGAGACCTGGCAGCAGGTAGCAGCATAGACATCGGAAGTTCCATCATCTGTGATCGATTTCACAATGGCCAACGTCAAATTGGGTGTTACCCTAATAACCGTGTCCGAACGAATCACATCACACAAAGACTGCCCAAAAGAGCTATAAACACCTTTGCATATTTCGCTCCGCTCCCTTAAAAAGAAAAAAAGACAGCGAAACAAAGTTAAAACACAAAAACAAAAATGTGCACAACAAATTATTATTATTATTTTAAATAATAAATTAATAATATTATTCAAGTGAGTTTCAGTGAGAAAGTTAGATGATCTACTTCAGTAAAACTGTCAAAGAATCCCTTGATTATGGTGTGAAAGGTGTTTTTCAGGCCAGTGAGCTGGGCTTCTGACGCTGCTCCGCTGTTCTCTGTAAAATGTTTGTCCTGTCATGAGGTTCCTGGAGCTGAGTCCCTGAACAAGTCATTCTCTGTGTCCGAACTGGTGGTGGATGGTTTTGTGTTTGAAGGCCTCTCTTTGCCATGCTCTACTGGTGTGACGTCCTCATCCCCAACATCCACAAATTCCAGAGGTACTGAGCTTAGGTCTGCTTTTGTTGCATCCCTGATGTCTTCACTGGAGCACATTAAGGCGGTGAGAGAAATCCCTTCTGGACACAGAAATCCTGGTTTTGTGTCTTTAGATGCTAAGTGTATGCCATGCCATGTCTGTGACCAGGATGTTGTTCATGAATAGCTCCATGACACCATCTAGTGTGACACCATGTAGACCTCCCCTTACAATGCTCTGCTAGTGGTGATGAGCTGGTGGTGGATGGTTTCTCTTCTAGTGTAAAGTCCTCCACATCCACAAGTTCCAGAGGGACTGAGCTTATGTCTGCTTTTGTTGCATTCCCGATCTCCTCGCTGGAGCATATTGAGTCTGCGGTACACATCTCTTCAGGACATGGAGATCATGTCAAATAAGTTTCTTTCAATGTTGAGTCCATTTCTGTGACCAGGTTGTCATCCATGAATGACTCCATGACACCCTCTGGTGTGACATCCTCTTCTTGCACAGTTCCTGCAGTTGAGTCTCTGTACAGGTGTTTATCTGGTGGTGGATGGTTTTGAGGGAGGTTTTGAAGGTTTCTCTTCTGGTGTGAAGTCATCATCCTCCACATCCATCAGACCCGGAGGGCCTGAGTGTAGGTCTGCCTTTGTCGTATCCTTAATGTCCTGAATGGAGCACATTGAGCCAGTGGGAGATTCTGGACATGGAGAGCCAGGTTTCAAGTCAGTACCGTATGATTGGCCAGTCTCTGACTTTTGTTCCTCAGCTTCCCACCTGGATATAGAGTGTGTTAGCTCATTCATATTAGCAGCAGCCTGATCCAGTGTCTCTGAGACAAGCATGCTGGCAATCTCGGAGGTCACTGATGTCGTTGAGTAAGCAGAGGAATCCGTCTCCTCACTTTCACTGCTGGAGAGTCTGGAGGTTGACCCTGTCTCTCTATATTTGACATTTTCTGCATCATTCTTCATTTTAACTGGATCCAGAGGGCTTTGTTTGACATTTTCATTCTGTTGGGGGAAAAACATATAGTATAAAAATGTTGAGATACAGGTCCTACTAGTTCTACTGTTGCTATCACCTGTGGAGTGACTATACAGTAAATGACCGGAGGACTTCACAATTGTTCATTTGGTTGTTTGCAGTCAGTTTCTGTTCATCCACCTCCTACACCTAAAATCTCACACAACATGTTAGAACACAACATCTGCTTTCTTATTCCTATATTGATTGATTGTTTCATTTCTTTTTTACAAATGATATGGTCTCATGAATAGTGTTTTTTACTTTAAGGCAGAAGCAAAATATACTTTAACTACTGGGTTTCCAGTCATCCACCTGTGTCTGTTGAACAGATTTTTTAATCAGTACAGCTGTCAACACCAGTTGGCTTGTGCTTCACTAATTGATTTTCCTACACATTTTAGCATTTTTGCATTTTACAATTCTTCTCTACACTACTAAGTCTATCTATTTACAAGTGTTTTACATTTTATGGTCACTTGTTATCACGACTGAAGTCCCACACTGAGCCATCTCCATTCACTGATGATACTGTTGGGTGGTTTAATCTAGAATAATGGATATTTTATGTACTGGTCATTGGTTTTGTACGTCAACTCTTAATCTGAAAAGTAACTGCAGCTGTAAAATTATTTCCCTCTGAAATTAAATTGAAGTAGAGTAGAGATATAATGTAGCCTGGAAAATATTCAAGTAAAATACAATACTTGATTTAGTTTGTTAATTGATACCTCCTTGTGTTGAGACATCTTTTCTTTCTTATTTTTTTATCTTTCGTGTCTTTCTTTGTAATAACCGCCCTGTCTACATTTGAAGTGATAAATTGTCTTTGTGTGGTTAAAATATTCTCAGTTTAACATCCAGGACTGAAATTAGGTTCTCTGTGAAGATTCTCTGTCTGCATTCTAAATGATGGAACATGACATCATTGAGAGAACCTTGCAGTTCTGTTCTGTTCTAACTGCTACACAAATATGTACATGTAGCATTTTCAATTCCCTAATAAGAATCAAGCCAAGCTAAGATTAGACATAAACATACAGATGGGGGACAAATTAAGACCTGAAGAGTGGAGAAGCATATCAAATGCAGATGTTTCTGTGCACCAGAGCTCACTGAATGGTTTGGTGAGTTTGAAAGTGACGTGAATAAAGTGCTACAGCCTTTATAGTTACCAGATCTCAACCAAATTACACACCTATGGAAGATTTGGGACCAGCGTGTAAAGAATGCTCTCCATCCACATATCAATTTAGTGATGTCTGTGACTGTCAATTGTAAAAAAAAATAAAAAAATAAATAAATTAAATAAATTAAATAAAAAAAATCACCCACATATGAACTGATAATCTGTAAAAATTTAAATTAATATTTATTCAAGTGATAAAATTTTTTGTATCATGCAGATTTCAAAGCTCAGACGGAAACTTTCATATGATTTAAATATCTGTATTTGTAGTTTTCACTTCCAACTAACTCTCTCTGAATAGCTTACTGTAATGCTGATCTCTGTCAATCATTTTGAACACACACATACACATAGGTTTATCTTTTCAAGTTCAAAGCTCTTTTATTTGATCAGAGAACAGAAGAATGACAAAAAAAATTAGCAATGTATTTGACAACTGACAAATGAGGTCTGCTCAGAAAACCTTAATAGGCACTCATCTACATGCTTTGCAGTGTTGGAAATCTGAAAAAAAAACAGTAAAATGAAGCTCATATCATCTTTAACTAAACGTTCTGTGTAAAGTAATGTTGGATGTAAAGGTTGGGACAATGTTAAAAAAACATCATAGTTTTAATATAATTTAGATTTATTCATTAAAATTTTGTCTCTCCACAGTTGCCCACTGCTTGGCCTTATGCCAGGACAGTGATGTGTGGATCCGCCTGCCAAATTATTTCTTTCCAAATCTCTGGGGCACAGCCATACTCCAGATCTGACCGGGGGCAGCCTCCCAATCACGAGAATGTATCTGATCCTCCGACACTACCTGCCCTCTGGAGCCACGGCCAAACCTGTGAGGGAGGAGAGACAAAGTCAGAAACGGATTCCATAATTCAAAGCCTTTTTCCATTCATTTAATTTCGTTTCGTTTTGACGTTTGCGGGAACAACCATGCTTTTAATGAAGGAAAAGACTGATGCCTATTTAGGTCGTGCTTTTGCCGAACCCTAACTGTTTTTAACTGATCAGAGCACAAAGAACTGTTACATAGGAGGTACATTAAAGGAAAAGAAGGTTTTGAAAACTGTTTTAGAAAAGGTTTAGTCCCTCCAGGCTGAGAACACAGCCTCCTGAACCACTTTTACTAAGAATCTCAAGAATGATTTCAAAAATGGTACATGTGGCACTTTGTGTAATTTTAAAATGCATGCATGGAAAATAGATGCAAATTCATTTTATCTGCATGTGGTTAGATTGTGTGCAATCACACAATCTAACCACATGCAGATAAAATGAGCAATGAGTCAGTCGAAAAATTAGTCGTTTAGTCATTTAAGTACGTTTTCATTTTCTGATTCCATTTTTCAAAATGTGAACATTTAGAGTCTTTTCAAGTCTTACATAGTAAATTGTTTACATAGTAAATTAAATATCTTTGGCTTTTGGACTGTTGGTTGGACCAACCTTGAGTATGTTTCATTGTGTTTAGATGTTTCACAGACCAAATGATTTATCCAGAAAATAATCACCGGATTATTCTAAAATTAAATGAATCATTAATTGCAGCACTGTCTGCATGGCTTTTACAGTATACTGATGCTTTTAGGCCTATTTAAAAAGTTATGAGTGATGTATGATATTTTTTATTAAATTCCTCATGTAACCCATCAAAACCCAAACATACCTGAGTACTGTACTTGCATTCAATGTCTGTTTTTTTGCAGAAGAATCTGTAAATATTTGTTTTTAATTCAGTGCTGATTGGAAACTGCAATACAGATGGCTAAAATGTTGATTTGCAGGTGATTGTTTTTAAACGAACTGTATGTTTGTGATAAATACACGCTCTGTGATGGCACTGACCTCTGTGGCTGATGGAGTACAGAGTTCCTGGTTTCTCTCTGAGGTCCGAGCAGCAGAGCTCTCAGCACTGTGGTCAGCAGACGATCATCAAAGCTGTTATCTTTGTTTTCACTCTCCTGCAGCACAACAGCATGCACATAAAGAATCTGTTTTTGAATAATCCCCCCCCAAAAAAAAAACATCTTGAGAACATCAAGAGCCCTAACTGCATTCAATTTTGGGTTGCAACATAGACCCTGGGGGTTGTAACTCCAGCCAGTCAGCCATGCTAAGGCAAGGGACCTTGAGATGTAGATATCAGTGTATAAAAGCAAAGAAATGTACCTCATGTCCAGCCAAATTTCCATCCACCCATATCTTTATGCAAAATAATACCCAGATCTGTCTATCTGTGCACGCCACAATGGGAAAACCTTGTATTTTTACTCATGATCTGAATCCTCCTCCTCTGACTGTCTGTTGACCCCAGAATATATTACAGTGTATGTCACACTGTTGCATGAAGAGGAGCACTATTTGAAATCTAAATGGGTTGTGTGATTTAGCTTGTCTCACTTGATAAAAGGGCTCAGATTTACATATTTCATCACGTGGAGTGACAGACTTCTCTGAAAATGTTGGCATGACTTCTGACTGTGCACAGAATTTTTCATTCAGTCTAATGTGGCAAAGCATCCTGGCCAGAGACAGACAGTATATTTTAACGCGTAACCATTTGTGCCTGAGATATGTTTCAAAAAATATTTTTTTCAGGTGCCAAAATTATTTTGGCAGATTGGATGTAACATGAATGATGTGGTAAAATACACATAAACGGTGTTTTGACTATAATTCCTTGCCACAGCTACAGATAAATCTCAAATGACTAAGATAAGAAAATACTAATGATAATATGATAATTAGATACTTGAAATAAAAAATTAGCAAGTTAAGTTTGTGAGTAGCTTGTAGTCTCACCAGCCCCAGCAGGTGGTCAACCATCTTCTCCTCCGAGCCGGGCAGGATGTCAGTTTTGTCCAGACTGTCTTGGATGTGAAGAGCCTGACTGACGCCAGTCATCGCCAGAACCAGAGCCAGTACAGTCACCACTGCAGCTGTGTCCATGGTCTCAAACTGGAGAGGAAGTCAGATTAATGCTGATGACAAAGGAAGAGGATGATTTTAGTCGTCCTGATTATACCTGTTGGCTCCCAGAGAACAGAGGAAAGGCTCGTCTTGTTCAGGGTTTAAGTGTCCTCTTTGTGCGGTGTTCAGTGGTGGTAGCATCCTCTCCGGGTCTTATATACGCCTCATGGTCACAGGCTGGAGATCCCCAGGAGAACTGGAGAAAGATGCTACTGTACAAAGGGGAACAGGGGACAGGATGGAGGAAGATCCAGCACCAATATGAGACTAAACTAGGTCCATTTAGTAGGATCAGGGCATTAGTGATGACTGAGGACCAGAGTGCGTTATTATGTGGCCCTTAGGGTAGTGCAACACAGCTCTCCCAGTTATTAAACAAATAAATCCCTGCAAATGGACTCTGATCCACTAGCCTCTGTTGTCCAGTAGTCCACACTGCATGTGCAGACAGACAATATGTGAAGACACTCGTTACCCACTTAATAATGCGCCAAAATTAACCAGATTAGTCCTGTCAATTTTAGTGATTTTAGGCAACAAAGTAATGAACCTAAAAAGTATTTTAGAAGCAGAAAAACAATGTAGACACAAAAGAAATGAACAACACAGTGACATGTTTACTGCTTATTAGTTTTTTAGTATTTTGCTCCAGAGCTAATGCTTCTAAATTAGGGGATGTATCCACAATATCACATCACACCTGAGGGTTTACAATAGTGTTACTGATTAATTAATCATTGAAGGATCAGCCTCTGAGTTTGTATCTTTACGGCATCTAAGATTAATGCCGTATATTTTTAGTTTAATTTTAGGGATTGTTTTGCAAGTGTAGGCTGAATTGTCCGAGATCATGTTGAAGATAACCCACATGTTCCCCATAATATTAATTAAAAAGTGCTTCACACATGCTTTCTCCAAATGATTATTGGCATGAATGTAAAGCTCACTATGACTCAATGTTATGGGTCATCAAAACCTTTGCTTACACAGTAGAAGAGGCTTTTTTTCTAACATGCTGATGAAGGGATTTCATTAAGAAGTTTCTTCCACAAGGGAAAGAAGCCTTCATTTGATAAATGGCATCTTCCTTCATTTTGTTAATTACACACGAAGACAACGTTAAGCTTGATTTGTGAGAGTGACACAGGCTTTATTAGTGCCAAATGTGTGTGTGTGTGTGTGTGTGTGTGTGTGTGTGTGTGTGTGTGTGTGTGTGTGTATTGCAGTTTAAGCGGATTGTCACCCATTAGGCACTTTGATGGGCCAAATCTGTTGATGTCTCATCCAGTGTTAGGGAAGTGACTAATTATCTCACACACACACACACACACAAACACATTCGTTCTAATTGTCCCTGTTTGACTGCCATGGCAACCAGAATGACATCGGAAGGGTTCTGAGGGGAATTTACTATAATAAGATCATAAGCTTTTGGATCAGAAAAAAATCGAATTCACTCACTCTGAAGGGAGAATAAAAAGTAACATTTATGTTTAGTCTGTTTTGCTTGAGATTTAGTTTTTTTTAAACAGATTGACCCCATTATTATGTACACGCGTACAGTCTAATGCAAGCAAAGAGTAATTTTATGATGGTTGTAAGGTTTAGTTTTTGTTGACATTGTTTTAGACGTGTTAATTCAATTATGCATTTTAGCACAGAGATCATAGTTTGTGACGTGTTGCACTGGACTGCATTATATTGAGGTGTTTCTGATGTTCTGCCCTTCTCATGTATGTAAATAGGCTGGGAAAAAAAATTAGAAACACCTCTCAGTATAATGTAGTCCAGTACAACACCACCTTTAACTGTGACCTCAGCAATAAATATATAATTGATTTTATACATTACCGACAATGTCAACAAAAGCCAAATATTAAAAACTTTGTAAAGGATGAATTTATGGTACATCTATTGTATTGAATCGCAATAGATTGTACAGGTGTACCTAAAAAAGAATAGGCGTAGGCTACCTAATTGAGAAGTACAAATGCTGTTATAGGCTACGAAAATAAGATCACACAGTAGGTTGGTGTAGATTTGGTTCACAACCATGACTTAATCCCAATCTTCTTTTGCATACATCATCTGTGGGCAGAGTTAAAAAACATCAAAGTGTCATTATATCAACAAACACGCCATGACATGAGACTAAATATTACATTACAGTTCAAACAGTTGCTTTTACATTTCTTGATTTTTAAAGGAATAGGAACATTTTGGGAAATACGCTTATTCGTTTTCTTGCCAGTAGAGTTGTTTCGCTAGCTTGGAGACATGAAATGGAATCAGTTAGCCTGACACATAAGTTTTCATTTACACCTAATTATTATATATTATTTTAAATATATATTTGTATGAAAGCACTACCTAAAATATTGCCAGATTATCAACATCAAGGTAGTGAGTCAAAATATTTTGATATTATGAAGATTGCCAAGCTTGCTATGTTCTAAAATTGCATATTTGAGCATAAGCTGGGGGCCAGACACTCAGACCAAAACTAATAAACAGGTGCGAGTTTCATACTCTTCTATATATATCAATATATAAATATATTAATTTCTATTCTCCCCAGATCTGGAGAAGGTCATCTATGCTTATATCCAATCTTTTTTTCACTCTGGTGCAGCTCTCATACAAAGACAAAAATCTCTCTTTCACACTGGTTCAGCTGTATGCATGCATGTATGCATTTTATCTGGACTTAAAGGAAAAGAGCTGTATATGCCCAATTTCATCATTTTCCTGCTGGAAGCCAGCTAGAACAGGAAATGGGCCATCATTACCATGAAAATAATAATGCAATTCTGTTCAGGACAAGTTATTATCTTGTAATTGTTTTGTTCCATACTTCAAATTACAACATTTACATAGTATGTAAGTAAAAGAAAAAGCCAAATAATATAGACATGATTCAGTTTTCAGACTTTTGCCTCCGCCCGGTGTTCTCTGAAGGAACTGCAGGTTTGACTAATCAAATGCTGCAGGATAACTACACTGCTCAAAAAAATTAAGGACTCTTAAATCAGACATCAGATATTGATGAATGAAACAGTTCAAAGTTCAGATTCTTCGCTGTACATTGTATAATTCGTTGAGAACAGAAATGACGTAACAACGGTCAATGGAAACCAAAATCGCCAACCGACTGAGGAGGAGTTTCAAAATGACACATTGAAAATCAAAGTTAAAAAATTGAAATCACAGGCTGATCCAACTTGCGTGACTTTCATCACAGCAACTCATAATGTGACTCAGTAGTGTGTATGGCCCACATGCCTGTAAGCGCTCCTGACAACGTCTGGGCATGCTCCTGATGAGATGGCGGATGGTGTCCTGCAGGAATCTCCTCTCAGACCTGGTTTAGGACATCAGTGAGCTTCTGGACAGACATAACGTCTGGTGAAAGTGAGGGCCAGTCAATGCCTTCGTAATCCATAAACTGCCTACACACTCTGGCCAAGTGAGGGTGGGCATTGTCCTGCACCAGGAGGGACCCAGGGCCCACTGAACCAGGTCTGACAGTGGCTCTGAGGATTTCATCCCAGTTCCCAACAGCAATCAGGGTGCCATTGCCTTGCTCGTGGAGGTCTGTGTGACCCTACAAGGATATACCACTGTAGACCATCACTGACCCACCGCCAAACCGGTCATGTTGGATGATGTTGCAGGCAGCACAGTGTTCACCACGGTGTGACTCTTTCACGTCTGTCACATGTGCAAAGTGCGAACCTGCTTTCATCTGTGAAGAGAATGGGGAGCCATTGGCAGACCTGCCAATTCTGGTTTTCTCTGGCTAATGCCAATTGAGCTGCACGGTGCTGGACTGTGTCTGGCCCACATGCCAGCCTCATTTTGTGTATTTCTTCAATTTGGTCAAAAACATGCACACCGGTAGGATCCTGGAGGTTCTAGGCCCTGTTTCAGAAAGCAGGCTTAACAAACTGATCTTATCCCTGAGCTCTGGATTGATTGAGCCTGAGGTGGGAAACCCTGAGTTTCCCTCATCTCAGGCTCAACATACTCAGAATTTTCACTAATCCCGCTTTCTGAAAAGGAGGCCTGGACTACCTGTGCAACCTGAATGGGCTAAAGGTACCGACTCATGCTACCACTGGTGACAAGGACACTAGCAACAACTGGAGAACCATCAGTCAGGAAGGATAATGAGAGAGCAGTTGTCTATGGCCACCGCCTGCAAAACCCTTCCCTTTGTGGGGGTTGTCTTGCTGTCTTGCTGTTGCCTCTCCAGTGCACCTGTTGTCATTTGCACCAAAACAGGTGACATTGATTTACATGTTATAATGTAATGATTAAGTGTTCCCTTAATTTTCTTGAACGGTAACTGCTGTACAACTAGATAAAATTCAACTGAGAATGACACCACGTTTTTATTTGATGGGTTTATTTTGTTTCCATTTATTTTATTTACAATGTTAAAACAGTGCAGCCAAACATAAAATAAATAAAACTGAGTCATGACAACGAGGGGGCATCAGAACAGCAACAAGAGCTTCATGCAGCTAATACAAGATTGTCCAGCAATACCTAAAAAAAAACATGCTTTACAGTCATTTCATCGACCAAAAATTAGATCCAAAGAAAGTTTCTTTGGTTCCTTGCTGACCTTTTTTTTTTTACTCTTCTAGATCTTCTCTCCTCTCTTCATGTTGTTTAAGTGTTTATTTTGATGCTTCAGGGCCTGATCTAATTTGTAAGTTGTCTTCTGTTCTTTACCAGAAGCTCCCAATCTGCTACTTTTACCACAAGGCACTTGTATGCAGTTACAAATGTCAGTACTGAAATGAATATACGATCTTACCCTGGCTAGTATGATTGTGAACAGTGCGACAAGCAGGTTAATATAATCCAACTAAAAAGTTTGAAAACTATTTATACAAAGATCATGATATTGCCTGGTGAAATATTTGTACATCTCATTAAAATTAATAAAGGTGGGGGACACAGGTGTTAATTTTTTGGACGTATCTATTTCAGTCATTCTGATTTAAATTGAGATCATGTTCTCACACATAATCCTTTTACACACTGGGGAAATGTATGTCCTCATAAGCCTGGACATCCATTCAAAACTCAATATTTGGTTCAGTAA